AAAAAAAAAAAAAAAGAAAAAAAAAGAAGAAAGAATAATGATCCAAATCTCGTTAAGTAAAGCTTGACTTATTAGCTATTATGAAACATATAAGCATTACCTGCTTAATAAAATTGAAATTCAAAGCACTAAAATCATAAGGCTACAAAGGCTATTATTGGGTTGTTATTGTTGTTATTAATCCTATTTGTGTTCATTGAAAACTTAACTACTCCACACGTAAGCAAGACCTCTTGTGCAATTCACATGGCACCAGATCCAGTAATCCATTCCCACATAGTGAATAAAGGTTCACCAATTTCTTTCTTTTCAGAAAGAAACCCTTAATAATTCTATAAAGATCTTTCCCTCATAGAGTTATGAGGATGCGAAGACCATGAGTCATTTTACCAATATGGAAACAGAGGCCCAGAGAGCCCTGGAAATATAAACATATTCCCAAGACCTTGGAGTCCCAGATAGGCTCCCACTGTGACTCGGCCCACAGGACAGAAGGAATGGGACCACGAAGGCAGAGAAATGCACCTGCTGGCTCCTCCTCAATCTGAACAGAAATGTGGGATACCTGTTCACCATCCATTAGATGCCCCGGAAGCCTTGCTAATTAGATGAAAATAAAGGAAATGAAAAACGGAGTGTTCCAGCATCTCCTATTCAGGTTCAGCTTTTCTGAAGCATGTAGAATTCTAACCCTGGGTGGAGCATTTTGTTTCTGCCCTTCGCTTCTGTTATTCTCCAATTTAATCCAATTAGAGTAGAGCACATTCAATCTGGTTCGAGTCAATTTGACACAATCTTGCTAACTGTTTCTGTCATATGCTATAGCAGATAAAAGACAAATGCCACTCTCCCTGGTCTTAAATAATTGATATGTTTTTTTTGAAAAAGTAGCTTGGGTACACGGAATTGAATTAATCACAATCCTTGGTTCATGAGACACAGTCACACTATCGTCATTGAGCCAGAGATGACCTTTGTTTAATTAATTTGCTTAATAACACATGCACACAGCTACGGCCTAACCTAAGAACAACAGGGATAACCTGCTTCTTACCTTTGGGCTAGACCCCTACCTCCTCATTTAGCCTCTCCCACTGTGCTATGACTTTGAGGTTTGTTTTTTTTTTTTATTTTTTTTGAGATAGAGTTTTGCTCTTGTTGCCCAGGCTGGAGTGCAATGGCACGATCTTAGCTCACCGAAACCTCCGCCTCCTGGGTTCAAATGATTCTCCTGCCTCAGCCTCCTCAGTAGCTGGGAATACAGGTATGTGCCACCACACCCAGCTAATTTTATAGTTTCAGTAGAGACAGGGTTTCTCTATGTTGGTTAGGCTGGTCTCGAACTCTCAACCTCAGGTGATCCGCCCACCTCAGCCTCCTAAAATGCTGGGATTCCAGGCGTGAGCCACCGCGCCCGGCTTGACTTTAGTGTTTAGAGTCACTCCTCTCCTTTTCGTTCTAGTTGTTGTACACATAAATACACACCTAACAATAAGCCTATATTGTTTGCTTTTATTGTTTTTGAATAGACTTTGGAGGAAGAATATAGCATATTTATTCAACGTATATTTAATGGGTGCCTTCTCTGTGCCAAGCAGTGTTAGGTGCTAGAGAATAAAAATAGTAAAAAGCAAACAAACAAGTAATAATTTCCGCTGTTATGGACAAATAATAAGCAAATAAACAAACAAAAGGTTTGGTCTGTCCATTAGTGATAATAGCTATGGATAAAACTGGGGCACGGAAGGTGGGGGTTGGGGTTCTTGCTATAGTGATTAAGCTGATGAGGGAAGAGGTGCGGGCTGTGAATGAACCTAACACAGCTGGAACTGGGGAGAGAACAATGGTTTCAAGCCGGTGACTTGAGCCAGACCCCAAATGTTTTTTTAACTTTTAAATTCCCATGTAGAAATGAAAATATATTCGTTTTCTAAGGTCCATTGAATTGTATTCTCATATGGTAATGTTTTGATCAAGCATTTACAAAAATATTTAGGGCCATTCCCTGGGAAAACTATTGAATATTAGGGCTAAAAGCTGCTTCAAATATGAACCAGTCAAAACTTTCCGTTTCGTAGAAGATAAAAATGAGATCTAAAAAGGTCAATTAAATTATATATACATACGTAAGTGTTACATTTTATGAGAAAGGTACTCGTGTAGGTTAAATTATTTGCTCTAAACTAGAAAACTAATTGATAATAAAGGTAGATAGCCCGGGCTTCTCTTGAGCTCATGGTGAACATTTCTTCAATAGTGTCCATTATGATAAAAATCTTAGGGCGGCCTACCTCTTAGTCTAACCTCAATTCCTGAAAAAGAAAATTCAGTGCCAGAGATGTTGAGGATATACCTTAAAGTAGGAATCAGTAGTCCTTTTAGGTTGTCTGAAGGATGGAGAATAGATAGAGATGTCAGCAGGGTCCTGTTGAGATGTCCCTTGCCCTCTCTGAAAGGACAAGCAACCAATTACAGGCACCAGAGGCTTGATCCTGGGTGCTCTTGGATTAGAAGAACAGTGTGGGGGGGTCCTGCTACCCGAGTTCAGCCACAGCCTCTTGAGTACCTGCTTTGCCTGTTCCCTGCCTTCTTTTAACCATAGCTCCAAATTCTAGAGCCTCTGCTTCCCGAGCACCAGCCTGCCCTTTGAGCTCATCTTCCTCCTTGCCAGATGGCCAGAGAGCGGAGGTGAAGCTCCCACGTTCTTCCTCAATCATAAGCTGGGGTTCACTCTCGTGGTATCCCCTCCTCATTTGGAGTCTTCTGTTTTCGTGCCTACAATATAAGTTTTGCATTTTGGGGAGTGCTTGGGCACCTGGAGAATCTCAAGAGCTTGATAGGATATCGGATGGGGCCACAGGGAGTGTTGATCAAAAACCACTCAGATTGTAGGTGGCGTTGCCAAAAAGAATACAGAGGGCCCAGTGAAATTTGGATTTCAGAGAAAAGTATGTCCTGAGTACCGCTATATAGTCAAAAAAGAGTAACAATTATTGCTTGGAAATTCACACTGGACTGGGCATTTTGTATTTTTATTTGCTAAGCCAGACAAGGTTATATTTGTGGAGCGGGAGGTCATGGCAGTTGCTAGACTTTCCCTCTGTGTAAGATGGCGAAGTGGGAAAAAGAGAGAGAGGAACCAAAGAAACACAACGGTTCTTTAGCAGCAACGTCCCTTCATGGACCTCTCTTTCCACTTTTGTTCTTTTGTGTCTGAGGGCTGTGTGTGTCTGTGCGTGGCACACATACGTACATCCCCCGATGTTTTGTAGAACACGAGGAGTGATACTCGGGAGAACTGCTGATAATGACACTGATTAGATATTGAATAAACAATGTGAGAAGATTAAAAACTGTACAAATGTGGTTAGTTTAAAATCAACACAAATCACTGCATTCATGTAAACTGCCTCTCCTTCGCGCGCAACTGCCACAGGGCGCAATCACAGTTATGTTCGTCCCAGCCAATCTCTACGTGTTTCCAGAGGATCATAGAATGTTACCAAAGAGGTCTAAGAAATTGCCCAATACAACCCTGATGTTTACCGATGAAATAACTGAGAACCAGAGAGAACAAGTTACCAACTGCGGGTCCCACTGAACATCAATATTAATAATAGAAAAATGTTTTGCAAAAGCTTTCTAAGGGCTGGCCGTTTTAGAAGTTCTCTACTTCACATTTTATTCTCACAATGACCCTATAATCATCCTCCTTTTCAGGGGAAGCAAGTTGAGGCACAGATAATTATGTAATTTACCTACCGTTCAAGGTCATGCAGCTAATGAGTAGAGATTACTACTAAAAACCCAGCGAGTCTGGCCCTGAGACCCATGCACTCAACCAGGACACCCTTTGGCTTCTCAAATGAGTTTATATCACCAAACATGTTCATACATGTAAACTTTCAGAGTTTACTGCTGCTGTAGCATAATTTTGTCCTTAATCACGAGGTCACTCAGCTACAGCTTATAGAAAGTTGATCGGACGTGGCTGACATCAATGATGATTTCAGAGTAAAAGCAGTTATCTGCTCACTTATAAACAAACCCTGTTACAGTGAGTCTGTTGCTGTAATCAGAGAACAATTTCATTGCATTTATTTAATGGAATACATAATACCGTGATCTACTATCAAAGCAAATATTCGCAGTCAGATTGAAACAGTTTTATGAGTTTACAGTTTGAGTTGCTTATGAAAGAGGATGAGGAGAAGAAGATGATGAAGGAGAAGGGAAAATAGTGAAAGGGAGCGAGAAATCAAAGTTGACGCACTTATTCATTGTTAGTGACAAAATAAAAGGCGTTCTCTTAAAGAGAGGCCCTACTGTCAGCATGCTGTCACCTCAGAGCTGGTGCAGCCAGAGTAGTAATTACATCCAGAAAGAATAACCACCATTCAAACATTACGTTTTCTAAGTCTTACATTCCACTTGTTTTTTGTCCTGTCTGTCAAGAGACGATCAACGCTTGCATCTCAGACTCCAGATTCCCTGTTTATCAGTGATGGGAGGATTAAAGACACCTGCTTCTGCTTTCATATCATGTTTTCCCAAAGCTACCCTTCCTTTTGACACAAAAGCCTGCACAACTTTCTTAAAAAGTGAGGCTGGAGTTCTCTGAAGCTCCAAGATCAGGGTTTTCAGGGTCTACTTAGGAGACACCAGGACTCCCCAAATCCACTGAAATGGAAGTTGGGAGTGGTGCAAACGTTGTCTTTCCTCTCCACTGCACTTTAGCTGAAGGAGGGATTGATAGGTGTTTTGCAAGTTGACTGTCAAGTACACCACCAAATCCTTTTAGAGACAAACCAGCACGCCCAGACCCTCCACATTTAAACTGGCAAGGAAGCGTTTGACACGAATGCAGCTTCATACAAAACAAATCCACATCCTCTCTTCTTCAGAAAGGTGGCAGTGTTGCCTTGCAGTTTTGACCAAATACAAAGCAGCGGTGAGGTCGCTAGTTAATTAACAGATCAACCGCCTCACCTCACCACCGAAAGGCAGGACTTAATCCACTACCGACCCCGGTGGCTGGCAGACTCATCCCAGAGCATCAGGGGCAGCGAGGCTTGTGACCGCCTAAGCTCCTGAGTTTTCAACTTGCGTCAACAGTGAAGATCCTAAGAAAATCTCCAGTTGACCCCACAGGCATCTACAAACCAAGGGCATCTAAGAAAGTCACAGATGAACCTTACCTCCCAGCAGCTACATTTTTCCTTTTTGAAACATCCATCCCACGTGAAACAATTGAGTTGGCCCCATGTAAAGGGCTAAGAAAGCTTAGCAAACCATGCCTGTATCTTTCTGACACCTGTTATGTCAATGTTCACATCAGAGTTCTCCTAAAAGTAACCATCTAAGTAGAAGTTCTACATTATTGAGTGTGTTGTTAACCAGTTTTCTAAAACCAACATTATACACAGAGCTACTGAAAAATAACTTCTGAAGTGACGTGTTGATTTGTCTAAACGTGGAGACCCACACAGACACCTTCCATGGGCGCGTGCACAAACCCTTCTTGAGAAGCAGTTAGATCTCCCGTCTCTCCCTTCCACTCACCTCCACTCAGCGTCCTTTGAGAAGTTTCTCTCTGTGCCAATAACACAGAAATTTGGGGGGAAATTCTCCATTTATAAATATCAGATGGTTTGGGAAAAAATATTTGTGGCACTGGGCTTTCTTTTTTTTCTTACAGTGATGTCATTTTAAATACTTGGTGTGCTCCAAATTTGCTATTTTTACTTCCCGCAAGTGACTTTTTTTGGGAAATACACTTGTTTGGATTAGCTACATTTTAAATGATCCCTGTACCTAACACACAAACATCAGGTTCATCTACTCAGCGATCATAACCGATATTACACAGCGTCCAAACTTGAAATCCCTTAGTTGTTCATTTCCAAAGTTGCCCCTTCTCAATGTACCCCTCCAAAATTTCTATTCACAGATACAGAGAAAATAAAATAAAAGGATTGGCCTTTTCACAGAAGAACTACCACACTCGACCACCCAAAAGCACTTACAACGGAAGACACAAAAGGCTCCCAAAAAGACAAATAAAATTCTTTGCTTCTACAATGTGCTTTTGGGGAACAGAGTTGAGGTAGACCTGGCAGGCTTGGAAACATTTATTGGAAAGCAGTTCTAGAGTTGAGAATGGCAGAAGAGGAAAGTTCAAGAAGGAATGCTAAATGCCTTAGCCCTACCTGATCTGAACTTGCTCCTAATCAGCAAGGAATGCTCAGACCCCAGAAGTGTCATGTTGAGGCTCAGCAAGCCGCTGGTCCCTTGGCCAGGCGCCCCCTGTTCTCCAACAGCAACAGGCTCCCGGGAGCCCAGCTGACCGCAGCTAACAACCCAGAATTCATCCAACTCTCCGTGAGCTCCCCTGGGTAGGAGTACAGTGGCAGCCAGTGTCCCCAGAAAACTGGCGCCTCCCCCCTCGCCGTGCGGGGCTAATTAACTCTTAGCCAGCGGGACCCTCCTCCTCCTCGGAGGTTGGCCGGGAGCAGCGGCATCCCAGGCGTTCCTGGCTGATGTCATAGGCTGCCGGCGATTGCGGAGAATCGCCACCACGCCTTTATGAAGGTCCCAACTTTGCCACCCGATACTCTTTACTACTGACAGGCGCTCAGCCAATCAGGAGCGGCGAGCGGGGCCCGGGGGACCCGGAGCCGCCGTAGCCGTCTCGGGAGCCGGCTCTTAACTCTCTGCAACGGGCCCTGCGGCTGCCGGGGCGCAGAGGGCGGGAGCAAGGCCGGGGACCGGGAATCCCGGAGAGGGGCCCGAGATAAGGAACCGAGGCCCGGAGGAAAGTCAGAGGGGCTGCGACGCCGCGGGGCCTGCAGGTGGTGCGCGGGGCTGCGGCGGCGCGGGGAGCTCCGGGGGCCCGGGCATGGGCGTGCGCAGCCGGGGCTTCCCCGCCAGGGCTTCTGCCTGCGGGAGGGACGCGGCCGGGATCTCCCGCCAGCCTGCTGCAAAAGCTGCGCGAAAGGGCGTGCGCGCCCGCGGGACGGTTCACGCGGGGAGGTTTGGAAATCAGCTGGACCCCTGAGAAGAAACACCTCTGAAGGACCGGAGCCCACACCTTCCCCTGGGTGTGAGGGGCTCAATGCACAGGCAGGGACGATTCTGTGTCTCGCAGCTCTAATACCGGACTTGCATGCATTTCCAAGGGGAAAATGGAAAGGCTTGCATTTTTCTAGGATATGCTTTTTTTTTTTTTTTTTTTTGGCGGGGTGGGGGTGGGGGCGATGTGACTCGGTGCATCTGGAGATCCAGCGGTGACACAATGCTCCCACCTCCAAACTCCGAGGGAATGGGGAAAGATACCTGAGTCTGAGTTAAAACTGTGAATAGGGAGGGGCTCTGGAGCGGGGGCAAGCCACAGCTCTGGTTGGGCTTAGCCTGGAAAGGCACAAAAAGTTTGCCTGCGAATCAGTCTCTCCATAGGGGAAAGTTCATTCCGTAACCGACCCAGAGTTATTGGAGCATCTGGCCGAGGTGTTACAGGCACATGGATCAATGAAATAATACAAAGACTCATCTCTGGAGAAGCTGGTTTAATAGTTGGTGGCTCAGAACATTAAAAAAAAAACAAAAACAAAAACACTCTATATACCTATATAATTAGGGTTGACTTGCAACCTCATGTGTACGTGGGCTCCCGGGTGTCGACTGTTACACACAAACCTGCCTATGTCTCTACTACGAGTCCTTAAAAGATCAGTCGGTTACAGATGGAGACCCGAGATGACAATAGTTCATAGGACAACCTCTAATGCCCTGAGTCCCGGCCTCTGCCCCCTCCCCTGTTGCTGAAAACACATTACAGTGTTTAGCCCTTGAGTTCAATCTCTGGATCTGAGCCGGTCTTTTTTGTAAACAAGGTCTTCAGGAATAGACACCTTCTTCCTGATGGGTCAGAGAAGAGGAAGAACAATCCGTCCATGTTCCCTTTGGGAATCTAGTCCTGGCCTGAACGCCAGTCTACAGGCTGATTTGGTGTGCGGGAGCATCTTCAGCAATTATGTAACATCATTTTCCCATTCCTGCTATAACAAATTACCGTGAATTTAGTGGCTGAAAACAGCACAGATTTATTATCTTGCTGTTCTGGAGGTCAGAAGTGCATCTCAGTGGGTCAAAATCAAGGTGTCAGCAGGGCTGCATTCGTTTCTGGAGGCCCTAGGGGAAAATCTACTTCCTTGCCTTTTCTAGCTTCTAGAGGCTGCCCGAGTTCTTAGCTCATGGGCCCTTCCTCCATTTTTGAAGCCAGCAATCCTGGGTCAGGTTCTTATTGCATCTTACCGCTTTAATGCTCCCTTCCCCCACCTTCTTCTTCCCTCTTCTATGGTAACCTTACTACAAAAATAAACTCTAGGCCGGGTGTCGTGGCTCACACCTGTAATCCCAGCACCTAGGGAGGCCGAAGCGGGTGGCTCACCCGAGGTATGGAGTTTGAGACCAGCCTGACCAACATGAAGAAACCCCATCTCTACTAAAAATACAAAAGTAGCTGCGCATGGTGGCACATGCCTGTAGTTCCAGCTACTCCGGAGGCTGAGGCAGGAGAATTGCTTGAACCGGGGAGGTGGAGGTTGTGGTGAGCTGAGATCGTGCCATTGCACTGCAACCTGGGCAACAAGAGCAAACTCTGTCTCAATAAATAAATAAATGAATAAATAAGCTCTGTCATAAAGTCAGTTTATCATCCTTCCTACTGCCTGGATCCCCTTTGCTGTATAATGTAACCTATTCACAGATTCCCGGGATTAGGACATGAACCTGGGAAGAGAGGGCATGATTCCTCCTGTCCCACGGAGACCTTTCTTTCTCTTTTGTCTCTCCTGATCTTCAGTCAAGCCCCAGCACCCTGGTCTTCAAGGAGAAGGAGGAAGGTGGAGGGAGGTTTGGGAACGTTTGCACACAGGAGTCTGGAAGGGCTCCGACCGGCTTTGAGATGTGTGTGGCAGGGAGGGACTCTGCAGGGAAGAGATTGGTGGGATAAGGAATATTGCAAAATTATCTGAGTAGAGAAAACTATTTTGAGCAACATTAAAAAAAGAAAAAAGAAAAAGCCAAACAGATTTTTATCCCGAAGTCTTTGGGGCTGAGAAGAGATACATGGCAACTTGGCGGAGAATTATTTTTTCAGTGAAAGTTGGGATGAAATTAGCTGAAGCCAGCATTGAATGTAGGGTCTGCATGACCTAGATGAGTTGGCCAGGAATAAGTTGTTTTCTCTCTGCAGGCCTGGGAGTGTGTGTGTGTATGTGTGTGTGTGTGGTGGGGGGGGGGTGTTAGAGAGAGAGAGAGGGAGAGAGGGAGGGAGAGAGAGAGAGTAGGGAAGCATAGTTTCTTTTTCTCAGTGAGTTTGGGAAATGCCAATAACCACCGTCCTCCTCTATTTTCTCATCACACTGTGGAGCTACTGACATGTCCTGAGATTTATACCCCCATGACTTGGAATATCTATGGTTATAAATATGCTCATATAAAAGCTCATCATTTCTCCTCTCTAGTAGAGCACTTTTTGTGAAAACACATTTTTTGAGAGGGAGAGGATGTTCTCAAGAAGAACAGAACTCCAAAGCTGCTCTCCCCAAAAAAAGCACGCTAATGCAGCAGCGGCACAACACCAGGCTCCGTCCTGCAATTTTGCCACCTGGGCAGTATGGTTCGCTTGCCATGCTACTCCACGACCTTCTTCCTTGGAGCCTGGAGTAAGCTTGTGATGTGACACAGAGGCAAGACATGAGCCTCCAGCATGAGAAAGATCTTCTTTGAATCCTGATAACCCTGCACCCTGGAGTGAATTATTGGGGTCCTCTGGGATACTCAACATCTTATCTGTAAAATGGAGTTGGAAATATTTGGTTCCAGAAAGAGTTGGGATGTTTAAATGAAACAACACATGTGGGGTGCCCAGAACAATTTTTCTTGGTGTGCTTTATTTTATTTTTTATTTTTCTGAGACGGAGTCTTGCTCTGTCACCCAGGCTGGAGTGCAGTCACGCGATCTGAGCTTACTGCAACCTTGCCTCCTGGGTTCAAGAGATTCTCCTGCCTCAGCCTCCCGAGTAGCTAGGATTATAGGTGTGCACCGCCATGCCCAGTTAATTTTGTATTTTTAGTAGGGATGGGATTTCACCCTATCGAGACCAGTCAGGCTGGTCTTGAACCCCTGAGTTCAGGTGATCCACCCGCCTTGCCCTCTCAAAGTGCTGGGATTACAGGTGTAAGCTACCATGCCTGGTCCTGGTGTGTTTTAGACCCTTCTTTTTACTTCCCCCGCCCCAACCACCTCTAAAACCATTCATGAAGATTCCAAGCGATTGTGTCTCCTTCCCCTTCATTTTGGCTTTCTCTCCTTTGCTATTAGTTATCTGTTTCATACATTGCCAGACATTCAGCAGCTTAAAACAATGCACATATTTATTATCTCCAAGTTTTCATGGTCAGGAGTCCAGGCATGGATTATCTGGGACCTCTGCTTAGGGTGTGACAATGCTGCAATCAAGGCGCTGGCTGGGATGGCAGTCACATGAGAAGCTCAATGTCCCCTTCCAAGCTGGCTGGTTGTTGTTGGAATTCAGGTCCTTGCAGGGCTAGAACTCACAACGGCTTGCTTTTTTCCAAGGCCAGCAGGAGAATGTCCTCTTTTAAAGGGCTCATCTGATTAGGTCAGGCTCACCCAGGACAATCTTTCTTTTTAACTCAAAGTCATAGTAATTAGGAACTTTAATTATACCTGAGAAACCTCTTCCTCTTTACTAAATCATGTAACCTAATCATAACAGTGCATCCATCACATTCACTGGTCTCTCCCATGTTAAACGGAAGAAGATTATCCAAGGTGATAACTCATTGAGAGGTCACCTTCCAATTCTGCCTTCCACAATGGTGATCCTCACCCTTCAGTCAAAATGGAAGTGATTATGTCCATAGGTGTGAGTTCAAAGTACAGTGCGGAGTCACCAGCTTACAACTTGACCCCTTACACATCTCCTTTCCTAGGAGTATCATGAGGTCAGCTGCTGGGTCACAAACAGGGGACAGTGAAGTGAGCAGAGGGACAGCTCACCCATGTTGGCCTCAGGACCTCCAGTTTTCCCTGTGGGCCTCTCTTAGAAAATCCCCTCCCCCAACAATGGTCATTATTGTTTGTATGGATCTCATGGTCTTGAGACGTGAACAGTTCTTCAGTACCTGCTTCCTAGTATTCCTTTCATCTAGTTTCTCTTTTTTTTCTTTCACACATCCATGAATAGGTAACTTCAGGGAAGTATTTTTTCATCTTTCGATAGTTCATTTAAGATGCATTTAGGGGGTCAGCCATGGTGGCTCACACCTGTAATCCCAGCACTTGGGAGACAAAGGCAGGTGGATCACTTGAGCCCAGGAGTTTGAGACCAGCCTGGGAAATAGGATGAAATCCCATTTCTACTAAAAAAAAAAAAAAAAAAAAAAAAAAAAGTCAGGCTTGGTGGCACACATCTGTAGTCCCAACTTTGGGAAGCTGAGGTGGGAGAATCACCTAATCACCTGAGCCTGGCAAGTGGAGGCTGCAGTGAGCCA